AATAATAATAATAATAATAATAATAAATTTTATTTATATCCCGCCCTCCCCAGCCAAAGCCAGGCTCAGGGCGGCTAACAACAATCAAATAATCAAACAATCAAATAATCCAACATTCTAAAACATTTCATTATAAAAATTAATTAAAATCAAATTAATGGCAACCGCTAAGCAAAGTTCTGTGCAGGTTGCCAGAGGAGGGAGTCAGGCTGGGCCCTGACCAAAAGGCCTGGTGGAACAACTCTGTCTTGCAGGCCTTGCGGAAAGATGTCAGGTCCTGCAGGGCCCTAGTCTCTTGTGACAGAGCGTTCCACCAGATTGGAGCTGCAGCCGAGAAAGCCCTGGCTCTAGTTGAGGCCAGCCTAACCTCTCTGAGGCCTGGGACCTTCAGGATGTTTTTATTTGCAGACTGTAGGTTCCTCTGTGGGGCATACCAGGAGAGGCGGTCCCGTAGGTACGAGGGTCCTAGGCCGTATAGGGCTTTAAAGGTTAAAACCAGCACCTTAAACCTGATCCTGTACTCCACCGGGAGCCAGTGCAGCTGGTATAGTACCGGATGAATGTGATCTCGCAGCGAAGACCCCATAAGGAGTCTCGCCGCGGCATTCTGCACCCGCTGGAGTTTCTGGGTCAGTCTCAAGGGCAACCCCACGTAGAGCGAGTTACAATAATCCAGTCTGGAGGTGACCGTCGCGTGGATCACAGTGGCTAGGTCAGGGCGAGAGAGATAAGGGGCCAACTGCTTAGCTTGGCGGAGATGAAAAAATGCCGCCTTTGTTATAGCTGTAATCTGCGCCTCCATAGAGAGGGAGGCATCGAAGATTACACCCAAACTCTTAACGGATGGTGCTGGCACTAATTGCACCCCCGCAAGAGACGGGAGTTGCCCCCCCAATCCCATATCGTCCCGTCCCAGCCAGAGGACCTCTGTCTTCGAAGGATTTAACTTCAACCGGCTTCCACGTAACCATCCAGCCACAGCTTCCAAACATCTGGTCAGTGTGTCTGGAGCCGAGTCAGGATGGCCATCCATCAACAGATAGAGTTGGGTGTCATCGGCATACTGATGGCAACCCAGCCCAAAACTCCGGACAAGCTGGGCGAGGGGGCGCATAAAGATGTTAAAAAGCATCGGGGAGAGTATCGCACCCTGAGGCACTCCAAAAACCAAGGAGTGGCGCGATGACAATTCCCCCCCAAGCGCCACCCTCTGTCCCCGACCAGAGAGAAACGAGTGCAGCCATTGAAGGACTGTGCCCTGGATCCCCACGTCGGCAAGGCGGTGGTCCAGGAGTTCGTGATCGACCATGTGAAAGGCTGCTGACAGGTCTAGAAGAATCAGCAGCCCCGACCCGCCTCGATCCAGCTGCCTGCGGAGATCATCTGTTAGGGCGACCAGAGCCGTCTCGGTCCCATGACCAGCGCGGAAGCCGGACTGGAATGGATCCAGAGCCGATGTTTCATCCAGAAACCTACCAAGCTGTTCAGCAACCGCTCTCTCAATCACCTTACCCAGGAATGGAAGATTCGAAACCGGGCGGTAATTGGATAGATCTAAGGGATCTAATGATGTTTTCTTTAAGAGCGGGCGCACCACTGCCTCCTTCAATTCCCCTGGAAATATCCCGGTGCCAAGGGACAAATTGATTATCTTTCCTGTAGCCTTTCAATGAATGATCTCACCCTCACTTCCCACTCTCTTTAGTGAAGTGTGTGACATCCCAACACCACACAGGCTTTTGCAGAAGGAAGGGGGGGACTCTACAAAAATAAGCAGGAAGATTTGTTGTTCCCCTTCCCAATATTAACTGCAACTGATCAGAAACTTTGGAAGGAGTAGCTGTCATTGGCAAGACTCTGAAGAGATCTGTGGAGCCCCAATATATGATTCAAGAACATCTACATTCAGCAATTACTTCCTTAGATGTGACAACATATAAAGCATTCCTAAATGTATCCCATCAGCATCTCAAAATATTATAGTGACTTTGTGAAAAAACAGCTATTTTACAATCAGCAGGAACTAGAAATAATTTTATGTAACAGCTTGTCAGCCAAGCAATGCTTGAGCTATGCCACATTTCTGAAAAAAATAGAACAAGAGTTCTTAAAAGTTATATAAACAGTCTTCTCTCGCCTTTAAACTTTAGAGATTTTCTACTAGCTTTAAGGATCATAAGCGTCCTATCTCAAAAAAATTATACTAGCATCCCACAACACTCTTGAAAATGAAAGTAAAGCTGCAGGTACAAGAGTAAAACAAGAGCACAATCCCTAAGCAACAAAGCAAGATGAATCACTGTGACAATAACATCTGAAACCTTTCGCTTGCTCAAAGCCAATAAGACAATGGGTGGGAGAAAGAGCAATGGGAAGAGCGCAGAAGAAAACATGATGAAGGGCGTATTTTAAAACGAAGAACAACATCTTACCTTCAAACGTTTGACTACTTCATCGTTCGTTATTTTATCTGTGATCTCCTTAACTCCAGGAGGGTAGAAGATGATTTTGCCGTCGGCAGGAGGCTTTGGTTGGGTGGATGGGAAATCCATCCTAGTGCTGCTGGTTATAAAGTTTCCTTCTCCACAGTCCTCTACCGGCCCCTATCGGTCAGAAAACAAAAGTTCAGCGGAATAGAGGCGACTTTCCGAACCTTTTTTCCCCTTCCCTCCCCCATTTCTAAACCTCGATTCAAAAGAAGGCCCCTGTGTTTCGCAGCGGCGAGGCCCAGGGCTTAAAGTCCGCAGGACCGTGGTCTCCCCGGATCCCCACGCTACGTCCAGCCCAGCGCTCTCCCTCCCGACACCTTTCATTGGGCGGCTGCTCCGAAGCCCAACACGATTACTTTGGCTGCCTCGCGGTTCACAATGAAATGTTAACATTTAAAAAAAAAACAAAAAAATAAAGAAAAGATTGAAAGATCGCCTCTCCGCGCCCGGGCGAGAAACGGGTCTGCGGAGAGGAGAGAGAAATAGAGCCGATCCCGAGACAGGCACTTCTTCCACCGAAGCCAGGAGGCAAGGCCTAAACTGTTAGGCCTCAAAACTATCAGGAGACAGGGAAGCCGACCGGAGGAGGGGAGGAAAGGGAGTCAGGCGGAGGGGGGACCCCGAAAACAACGTAGCCCCAGCCGGCCACCCCCTATAACCCCCGCCCAGCCCAAGATTAAAACTCTTCCCCAACCCAGCCGGGCCGGGCCGCCCCGCCGCAGGGACGGCGCCGCTTCCCTCAGGGGAGGGCGCAGGCCACTCTCCATCCACTTCTCTCAACTTCCACCTCAGGACCCCTCCTGCAGCCCCTCGCCTCGTGTAAACGCCCGGCTCCGGCCCAGAGGGTCTTCCCGGCTGGTCGAAACCCGCCACGCCGGCGGGGAGAGCCGGGGAGGAAGGCGGCGAGCAAGCGGCAGCAGCGGCAGCAACAAGAGACCCGGACCCCAGGGGCGGCTGCCTCGCTCTCTCACTCGCCCGCCCGCCCGCCTTTTTTTTTACCTCATGCAGCTCCGGAAGGTGCAGCATCGAGCGGCCTCCGTGGGCGGCTGGAGCCGTGGAGGGAGGCGCGGGAAGGGGCTGCCGCTCTCGCTCCGAAGACGACGACGACGGCCGGCGCCCTGCCTCGGCGACTCGCTCGCCTTCCCTCCCCCCACCGCGGCGGCGGCGGCGGCCTCAGTCCCGGCGGCGGCTGCTCAGGCTCTCAGGGAAGGAGGGTTCGGGCAGAGCGTGCGCCTGGCGCGGCCGCCTCGCCCGCGGGGAAGCAGCGCCGCTCCCTGGCCGGCCTGACGAAGAGCAGCCCAGGAGGAGGAGGAGGTGGAGGAGGAGAGTCGGCCGCCGCCGTCCCCACTATGCCGGCTTCTCCGAAAGCCGCCTCCCTCGCGTTTCCGCGGAGCCTGAGGGGGGCCCAAAGGTGTGCGGCTCTGCCTGTACCTACCCGCCGAAGTCCCATCCCGACGACTGGTTTGCCCTCACGGGTCTCGGCGGCCGCTCCCGGGTCGTGCGCGCGCGCGCTGGCGCCGAAAGCTGAGGCAACTCGTTTGGCGCCAAAACCAGGCGCTGCCGTGAGGCGGCCCGCAGCCCTGTCGGAATAGCTGGAGGGGCCTCTCTTTTTAGATATATATAAATTTATTTACTTGGTTTCCAGATTAAAGTCTTACAATCACATATCCAACATACATACAAGATTCCAAACAATCTCCTCCTCCCCTTTGTGGGTCCTCTTGTTAATCAGTTCCCCTCACATCTTTTATGATGATCCAGATATTTGACATCTCCCTTATGTCCAAAATTCGCAAGAGTTCCAATCCCACTAACGGTTTTACCTGTTTACAATGGTTTTTAAGGTAAATTATAAACTTTCCCCATTCCTTATTAACATTTTGTTTCTTGTAAAAGTTGTTGCTTTCTCAACTCTCTTTTGATATGCGTTTTGTTGGATGAAAAAGCCCCTCATCACTGCTTTACTTGCATCCCATACCACTTTCAAGTTTGTCTCCTCATTCAAATTAATTTCAAAAGAATCTCTTAATTTCCCCCCTCCTTTTTAAAATTTTGGTCTTCCTGATTTTTTATTCTTCCGGTCATTTTTGCCATTTCGGCATCATCCATCAACTTGATCTGCCATTTTTCTCTGGTCAGGTCTTTATCTTCTTTCCATCTCTGGGCCAATAACATCTGTGGTTGCATACATGAAAAGTCTTTTCTGCTCGCTTGCGATTTCAGCACCTTGGATTCCTAAAATAAAGGCTTCAGGTTTTAGAAAAAGTTATTTTCAAGTGCACCTTCTTTTTACCCCCAAAGTGCACTTTAAACAAGGTTGTGAAAGCATCGCTGACACGCTATGTTTCCAAGTGTCGCTGCTATATATGTTCTTCCTTAGTTGGGGTCAGCCGAGCAGGATCCGGCCGTTTTCTCTCCTGAAAGTGGCTTTTTGTGTTTTGTTTTGTTTTTAAGCCTGCTGCAATATGAGTGTGCAGAGTGTGTGTGTCCCTGTGGAGCTCAGTGGGATTTATTCCGGAGTAAACCGCTGAATTGTGTTCAAGATGGAGGGCCGTCCAACTGCCTCTGCAAATGCGACATTATTGCTTGTGTCCAATGCTAGGGCTAGTCTAGAGCAGACCCGTTGAAATGGAGAGGCATCATGGGCCCATCCATTTGAATGCAGCTATTCTGAGTATAAAGTACTGTAGCTGAATATACCCCTACAGGTGTATGCACTATATACCTCTATATACACACAGTTGAATACAGTACACTGAGGGAGATGGAGACATAATAAAATGAACTCAGTATTCAGGCAAGAATGTTAAAAGGTAAAGGTACCCCTGCCCGTTCGGGCCAGTCTTGCCAGACTCTAGGGTTGTGCGCTCATCTCACTCTATAGGCCAGGAGCCAGCGCTGTCCGCAGACACTTCCGGGTCACGTGGCCAGCGTGACAAGCTGCATCTGGCGAGCCAGCGCAGCACACGGAACGCCGTTTACCTTCCCGCTGGTAAGCAGTCCCTATTTATCTACTTGCACCTGGAGGTGCTTTCGAACTGCTAGGTTGGCAGGCGCTGGGACCGAACGACAGGAGCGCACCCCGCCCCGGGATTCGAACCGCCAACCATGTGATCGGCAAGTCCTAGGCGCTGAGGTTTTACCCACAGCGCCACCCGCGTCCCATCGGCTGGGTGAGGACTGCAGGGCCTGCTCCCTTCCAGAGCCTTTTCCAACTGGCCCAGGGGCGTGGCCCAGGCCCGCTCTCCCAGCTATAAAGGGACTCCTGCTGCGGGGAAGCCTCGGACCATCGGCTGGGTGAGGACTGCAGGGCCTGCTCCCTTCCAGGGCCTTTTCCAACTGGCCCAAGGGGCATGGCCCAGGCCCTCTCTCCCAGCTATAAAGGGACTCCTGCTGCGGGGAAGCCTCGGACCATCGGCTGGGTGAGGACTGCAGGGCCTGCTCCCTTCCAGGGCCTTTTCCAACTGGCCCAGGGGGCGTGGCCCAGGCCCTTATTTGGAACAAACTTTTGGGGAAGTGTGGGAAGTGTTCTGCCATTGCTTCCCTGTTCCAGGTGGTTAATGTGCTTTAAAATGTCCTCAAGCAGTCGGTGGCAATTTAAATTTTTTTTCCTTTTTCCTTTTTTCCTTTGTTGGGGGTGGGTGGGTGGGATGGATAGTTGGTTGGGGATTAATTTTAGTATAATTGTTCTGTTCCTTTTTGTTGTTGTTGTTTTATTGGTTCTGTATAGTTTGTGTTTTGTTTTTAAGGGGCGGGATCAGGGCTGCCTGGGAGTGGCTCCCCAGCCAACACGATGGCTGGGACAAATTCCACGGGGGGGGGGGGGGAAGCACTGGGACATCCGATCTCGGTGATCATGGGCAGGAGGCGGAGTCATTACCGAGGAGGCAGGTTTAGTTGTTGTTTGAAGACTATCCCTGCCTCCGGGTCTGGCCTTGACCGGATGGATACTGGAATCAACAGGGGAAACCCACATGACCTGAAAGTGTTGCTGTGCAATGCCAGGTCAATGATGAATAAAACCACTGCCATCCACGACTTGATTGTGGATGGAGGATTTGACCTGGCATGTGTGACAGAGACCTGGTTGGAGGAAGCAGATGGGCCTGTCCTTGCCGCTGCTTGCCCACCAGGTTTCTCTTACTCACAGCAACCCAGGTCATGTGGGCGGGGAGGGGGGGTTGCAGTGATTTTTAGGAAGTCACTAGCTTGCACCAGGCGTCCTACTGGGAAGATCCAGTTCTCTGAGTGCATGTTCTGGAAGTTGGGCAATAGGGGCAGTACAGGATTCCTTTTGGTGTACTGACCTCCCCGCTGCACCAAGAATTCCCTGTCCGAGCTGCTTCAGGTCGTGGCGGATTTTCTCCTGGAGACACCTAGTTTGGTTGTCCTAGGGGATTTTAACATCCATGCCGACACAACCTTACAAGGGGCCGCTCGGGACTTCGTGGAAAGCATGGCCTCCATGGGGCTGTCCCTGAATAAGTTTGGCCCAACTCATAGTCATGGACATGCCTTAGACCTGGTGTTCACCTCTAGTGACGTGGGTGATCTGACACTGAGTAAAAGTGAAACAAAAGAAGTGCCATGGTCAGATCACTTCCTGGTGCAACTGGACTTTTCCGCGACCCTTCCCCTCTGCAGGGAGGTGGGACCAATTCGGATGGTCCGCCCCCGCCACTTAATGGATCCAAATGGTTTCCAGAGAGTGGTAGGGGATGCTTTAGTCCATGTTGATGGCCTTTCAGCTGATTCCCTGGTGGCCCGCTGGAATGCGGAGTTAACCAGGGCTATCGACTGTCTGGCTCCGAAGCGCCCTCTCCGATTGCATGGAGCCCGGACAGCCCCGTGGTTTTCTTCGGAGCTTAGGGCGATGAAACAATCGCTGAGACGGCTAGAGCGTCGGTGGCAGAAAACTCACTCTGAATCTGACCGGACACAGGTTAGAGCTCAACGTCGAGCCTACCAAGTGGCGATAGCGACGGCGAAGAAGACTTTCTTCACCGCCTCTATTGCATCTGCAGAAAATAGTAGCAGGAGACTCTTTCAGGTGGTTCGCAATTTAACGGAACCACCTTTACCACCGGGGTCTTGTAAAGACCCCAAGATCTCCTGCAACGATTTTGCAAAGTTTTATGCAGATAAAATCACTCATATTCGGAAGGAGCTAGACACCACCGTGGGAGCAGGGCTGGGGCGGGAGAGTGCTAGAGCTCTGTCTGGTCAAGTTGCATGGAATCAATTTCAATCCGTTACCCCCGAGGATGTGGACAGGCTGCTTGGACGCGTGAAACCAACCACCTGTCTCCTTGATCCTTGCCCATCCTGGCTAATAAAAGCAAGCCGGGAAGGGCTGGGAGATGGGCTCTGCGGCGTGGTGAATGCTTCCCTCTGTGAGGGAACATTCCCAGATCCGCTGAAAGAGGCGGTCATTAAACCGCTTCTTAAAAAACCATCTTTAGACCCGGCCAGTATGGCCAACTATCGCCCAGTCTCAAATCTTCCATTCTTGGGCAAGTTGATTGAGCGCGTGGTTGCTGAACAACTCCAGGCACGCCTGGAGGATACGGACCATTTGGATCCCTTCCAATCGGGATTCAGGCCTCACCATGGGACTGAAACTGCCTTGGTCGCGCTGGTTGATGATCTCCGGCGAGCTAGGGACAAAGGTGAGAGTTGTTTCCTGGTTCTGCTGGATCTCTCAGCGGCCTTTGATACAATCGACCATAACATCCTTCTGGACCGCCTAGAGGGGCTGGGAGCTGGGGGCACTGTTATACAGTGGTTCCGCTCCTTCCTCCTCGGCCGTGTTCAGAAAGTGGTGGTGGGGGATGAGTGTTCAGACCCCTGGCCTCTCACTTGTGGGGTGCCTCAGGGTTCCGTCCTCTCCCCCATGCTTTTTAACATCTATATGAAGCCGCTGGGAGAGATCATCAGGGGATTTGGACTGGGTGTCCATCAATATGCAGATGATACCATACCCAGCTCTACCTCTCTTTAAATCAGAACCAGTGAAGGCGGTGAAGGTCCTGTGTGAGTGCCTGGAGGCGGTTGGAGGATGGATGGCGGCTAATGGATTGAAGTTGAATCCTGACAAGACAGAAGTATTGTTTTTGGGGACAGGGGCGGGCTGGTGTGGAGGACTCCCTGGTCCTGAATAGGGTAACTGTGCCCCTGAAGGACCAGGTGCGCAGCCTGGGAGTCATTTTGGACTCACAGCTGTCCATGGAGGCGCAGGTCAATTCTGTATCCAGGGCAGCTGTCTACCAACTCCACCTGGTACGCAGGCTGAGACCCTACCTGCTCACGGACTGTCTCGCCAGAGTGGTGCATGCTCTAGTTATCTCCCGCTTGGACTACTGCAATGCGCTCTACGTGGGGCTACCTTTGAAGGTGACTCGGAAACTACAACTAATCCAGAATGCGGCAGTTAGACTGGTGACTGGGGGCGGCCGCCGAGACCACATAAGACCGGTCTTGAAAGACCTACATTGGCTCCCAGTACGTTTCCGAGCACAATTCAAAGTGC